CAAACTTGAAGTGCTTATAACTCAATCTCATTGAATTGACATCATGCTTCCTGCTATCACCAAAGATGCTGAAGCAAGAAGTAGAATCTGATTAGTAGAGCTTGGCTAATGTTTTATAGAGGTGCAGTCTACTGTGAACTTTTTTTTTTTTCCAAGTCAAAATGGTTCATGACATGTTTCCAAAGAAATAAATTGAGGAATACTGGGATAGGCGGGAATTGGGATGCCTATTTTTACCTGTAATCCTTTTTTGGATCAATTTATGTGTGTGAGGATGGAATTTAGTATTTTAGATACATTTTCTCCACTAAGTGTGGTACAGTTTGTCAGGTGTGTCCCCAGGTGTGAGGTTGATCCAACATAGTTAGAAAGGGAGACAGTTGGTTTTCCAACAGTCATGAAAAAAGAAGCAGTCATAAAATCTTAGATTCTGCAAACTCAAATTCAACAAGCTTTCACGTCTGTACAATCTCGTTCTCATTATTCCATAGAATTCCAGAGCAGAAAACACTGCAAGCACCTTTAGTGGGAATTCCAGGGCAGAATACTGAGCTATTTATTATATGATATTTTTATATAGCGCACATATCCAGGCAACTAGTGCTTGCTCAAGGCGCTGGTATTTTTCCCTCGATCATTGGATGTCAGTCTCGACTACACATCGTGTTGTCAATCTCAACTCCCTGGGGAGCATACGACTCTTGCAGCCACTAGGCGCACCGAGTTATTGTGGCCTTCTCATCCTAAGGAGGTACCCATTCACAGCTGGGTGGACTGGGACACATAGTCACAGTACTTTGTCCAAGTTCACTGCACATTGCTGTACCCGCAACTTGGTGTTTGTACGTATTCATGTGGCCACCATCTGGTCATATACCAACGGATTCGTGGGTTCTTTTAAGTGCACAGGGATGTGTACTGTACACTAGGGGTTGTGACAACACTGAAAAAGTCTGCACTCAAAGTTGACTCCGAGGTTTTTACACCCGGTCACAGGTGGGCTCGATCCCGACACCTCAAGCTCGCTGGATCACTAGCCTGGCACCTTAGTCAGCTCGCCCACCCCTTACAGCATAATGGACAAATGCCTAAAGAATAAACCTGAGCTTCCTCAGAATATATGTACGACTGGTGGGTCCAAGACAGAAGAGATCCACAATGCTGTGCTCATCTCACTGTGGGGGCGCACATTTTACGCTCCAGGCTAAGAGTCTGCTAAAGAGGATTGGATGGCCAGAAATGTGAAACTTGCTGGATAAAAAAAGTCACCCATAAGGCTCGTGCTAGTCCAGGTTTATTATCTGGGTATGTTTATTGTCATTATATGATGCTCTTCAGGTTCGGGTTGTTCTGTAGGTCTCCTGGTCCCAATCATGACCCGACCGACCCACCCCGAGTACCACACTTAAATGTTCCCTGCTAACCATATTAATCACAGTTTGTCTGGTCCAAATCCCACAGGTTCAGGTTGTTCTGTAGGTCTCCTGGTCCCACTCAGGACCCTGCCTGAGTACCACACTTAAATGTTCTCCGCTGCTGATATTAATCATACGTTTGTCTGGTCCAAACCCCACATGTTCGGGTTGTGTTGTAGGTATGGTCCCAATTAGGACCCGACCTGACCCAACACGAGTACCAAACTTGAATGGTCTCCGCTGCTCGAATTAATCACACGTTCGTCTGGTCCAGATATTAAAAGGCTGTTGTCACACAGCTCAGTGAAAAGAACAAACGCAGAGAAAAAACACCAGTATAATAAATACATAGTTTAATAGCCTGATAACAAGCTCCTTTCCTTCACACCCAAGATGGAGAGTCATTTAATGAACTTGTCACATACACATCAATAAATATTCAAACACTTACAATATTTGATATTAAAGTGTAGGTATAACATGAAACTCAACACCTGGTATGTTTAAAGCATTTGTGAAAAGTTAAGTGGCATGTTAGATGCCTAGAGATGACAGCACAATCCCAGAGTTTAAAAAGAGTATACATATCAGGTAGACATGGAATGACAAAGAACAAAACACACCATAAAGGGACGAGCATGGTTAATATATCTGAAAATACATGAAGAGTGAGTGAGTGAGTTTTAGTTTTACGCCACTTTTAGCAATATTCCAGCAATATCACGGAGGGGGACACCAGAAATGGGAATTCACACATTGTACCCATGTGGAATATCGAACCCGGATCTTTGGCGTGAGGGGTAACGCCTTAACCACTAGGGTACCCCACCGCCCCAAATACATGAAGAAATGGATGAAGGTGGTAAGGAGAGCAAGAGACCACTTTGGTGATACATCAATCCTCCAGGGGATCCCCTGAATGAGTGAGTGAGTATGGTTTTATGTTTAGCAATTCTCACGGTCAGAAATGGTGTGATGTTTCATAATTGAAGATGGTAAGCTATTGTTGCCCCTTTGAAACAATATAAATCAAACAAACACAAAAATATTTTTTTCTATCTGAGAATTTCAGCTAGTTAGTCATGATAGCTTTAACAATATATTATGAGGCCCGATTCACAATCAGCTAGCATTTGGGTAGCTGGCCAGTAGCTATTTAAAACACGGAGTACTGGTACTGATTCATGAAGGCCCAATTTGTCGGCCACACCTTCACAGAGTGGGGGAGTATGGTGATACGCATTTTTAGCAATATTTCAGCTTATTTAAAGAAAATCTGACAAAGATATACCAATATGTGACAATTTTGAAATTGTTGGCTTATGGGTCAGCAATCGTCATGTGAAATTGACACATATCAGCTTGCTTGTCCTTGACCTCCGGTAAGAGTATGACGATGCATATCATAACAATTTCATTGTCAGGTAAGGTGATATATGCATGTCAGTTGTCAATCACATTCCATCTTAATATTAATATTACTAAGACTTTTCTCTTTCTGACTGAACCCAGTTTTTTTTGTATGTGTAAAAAATCAAACATATCATATCATATACATATGAAAACAAAACATGCATATGAGCTAACAATTATGATACATATGTATACATAATAACATAAATTTGATAACAACAGTGTACCCTCAAGTAACAGATTAAAAACTATCAGCCATATCTAATGTACCATAAATACTTGATTAAGTTCTTGCTTTGAATAAATATCCAATGCCTGGTCAAAAAACACACTTTTAATAATGAAATAAATTTGAATACAAACTTGCAAAATACTGAGAAGAGACATGAAAACATTATACAGACATCTGTCACAAAAAGCATAAACACCTGGTTTGAATAAATTCTTTTTTCCCTAAAATAGAAAAATGGCTGCATTTATTCAAGATTTGTATACACAGCCGGTCTGAGTATAGTAAGGGTATGACTGAGTATTGACAGAAAACAGCATAACGAAATACTACAGTGGTTGTAATGTAGCACTATGTGGACCAGTCATATATTAAAAAGCTAGGGAGGTGCGTGTGTGTGTGCGTGCCTGTGTGTCGTGCGTGTGTGTGTACATATATATGGGGTTATAGTTAAATGGTCAGTTTTAAATAATAAAATAGTGCTTTTAGTTTATATCTCTCAAGACTGGGTCAAAAGAAACTCTGTACAGGGACTTCCCAAAAGGACTAGTATTAAGGGGGACTGCTGTTTCCATTACAGCAGTGCCCAGTCTAAGTAAACTTAGGCTCAGTATTATTCTGTCTTTCTAAAATATGGGAGGCAGTCCCGTTCCACTGAGTGATGTTAGCATTATGACTATCATAAGCCTATGTAAAAGTACTGAAGATACGATAACTTTTAGCACTGTTTCATTGCTGAGTGCAAAATTAGCACTAAGGTGTTCCTTTAGCACAGCTTTGGTGCTCTTGTGCTCCTTTAGCACAGCTTTAGAGCTCAGGTGCTCCTTGAGCACAGCTTTAGAGCTCAGGTGCTCCTTTAGCACGGCTTTAGCATTCATTTACTTGAACATAGCCTTACAACTGTCACAGTGCTATGAAGGCTTCCTGGAACGGGGTCTTGGGAGTATTTAGCTGTGCTCAAAACCCACAGAACTAGAGACAGTTCTGTCAGAAAATCAGAGTATTTACAAGGCTGAGGTATCCAGCATACAACATTCAAAGACACAAGACTGTACACTGTAAGGAAAGTCACTGAGACAATCAGGTTTCAGGACAATTACATGGGCCCTGATCATGGAACTGTCAAAGCGTTATTGTTAAAGCACCACAACCGCAGTGCTAAACCTGTTGTGTGAGGTTTGAAGACAGGGGTCACAGACACACAACCTCAAATAGTTGAGATCTTATATTCACACTGCTGCAGAAGACATTTATTATTGGTGTAAGCAATGGATTAGAGATCACAAACAGATGCACAACCCCTCTGAGATCTGATATATCCATTGCTGCACACAAAAATTCAACATTGGCGCAAGCTTGGATCTTAGCATTTACAAACAGATGCACAACCTCAAATTTCTGAGAACATGTGTATACAATGCTACACAAAATATTCAATACTTTGATGCTGATTTAATGCAGAATTCAAAACAATATGACTGTGTTGACACTTAGCTTCACAAGTATAATTGGTTAAAGACCTATAGTACTAACTAAACCTGTTAAGGATCCTGTCATATGATATATAGACATGACAGACGAACCACAGTAGCATGGAAGTCTCTTTCGATCTTCATCTTGCTTTGAGTAGTGTATTGTATCTGAAGCGGACTGTACCAATCTAGTGACTCACAGTTAAAGGTGACCGAGCTTCTGTAAGTCTACCAATCTGGTTTGGATATCTCAGGGTATAAACTGACTGACTGAGTTTGGTTTTACGCCGCTTTTAGCAATATTCCAGCAACACGGCAGGGGACACCAGAAATGGGCTTCACACATTGTACCCATGTGGGGATTCGAACCCGGGTCTTCGGCGTGACGAGCCAACGCTTTAACCATTAGGCTACCACACCGCCCCTCAGGGTATATAGATTACTGTTGTGTGAGTATAGTTTTATGCTACTTTTAGCAATATTCATGCAATATCAGGTCGGGGGACACCAGAAATGGGCTTCACATATTGTACCCATGTGGGGAATCGAACCCGGGCGCCATGAGCGAACACTTTAACCACTAGGCTACCCCATGGCCCTGATTACTGTAGATTACTGTAGAACAGATTAACATAGATAAGGAACACATTGTATCAGCTGTCTGGTAGGTGAGCTGGTCTACCCTTTCTCTAACATACAGGAACAGGAAACTCAGTAAATAAATCGTGGTAGAGTTAACTCTCTTGGTTCCAACCACACTATTCCTTACAGAAGAACCTCTTCTCTGGGCATGCAAAGATGATTCTGAAGGTAAAATGGGTGAACAATATCAGTATAATATCCAAATATCAAAATCCCAATGCAAAATTCTTCACGGGCCAACTTGCACAAAACAATATATACTTATTGTAGTTTCTTAATAATGTAATCTTTGCTCAGGCAACAATTACCATCCATTTCTTTGTTTGTCTGTTGTTTAACGCCGCACTCAGCAATGTCCAGCTATATGGCAGCAGTATGTAAATAATTGAGTCCTGACTAGAAAATCCAGTGATCAACAGCATCAGCATCGATCTACACAACTGGGATACAATGACATGTGTTAAAAAGGTTCACGAGTCTGACCACTAACATGAAGGGACAAAGGCTACTGTAAACCACAGTAGAAATTTACCATTTGCCTAGACTAGTCATATAGTCCTAACTGCCAGTTCACCTGATGAAGGGACCTGGAATGGTCTCGAAACGTTGTGAGAGAAATTAAAAAAGAAGTTTAATCCATAAAAATATCTTGGACATCAATGTACAACTTCTAAATGCCACTGAAAGACATAGTCATGAGTGGTCCATGAAAATACTTGCTTAATGCCGTGTTCAACAAATTTCCATCACAGCCAAGGATTGGACCGACCCAGTACATATACAGATACAAGATACAAGACTGTACCTACCTGTAGAAGATGGCAGCTATCACAGATCCAAGGATTGGACCGACCCAGTACATGTACAGATACAAGACTGTACCTACCTGTAGAAGAGGGCAGCCATCACAGATCCAAGGATTGGACCGACCCAGTACATATACAGATACAAGACTGTACCTACCTGTAGAAGAGGGCAGCTATCACAGATCCAAGGAGTGGACCGACCCAGTACACATAGTGGTAGGTCCACACTTCAGATTTGTACACACTGAGAGCTACGGCAGGACCAAAACTGCGGGCTGGATTCATGGAGGCCCCAGTAGTGTTGATCCTGAAAGATAGAACATGAACGTTACTGCCGTCATAGAGCTAATATAGATGGTGAGTAGTGTTCAAGAAAGTGTTGAAAAGGATTGATTAACGGTGGAGACAAGAGTAAAGAGGACAAGCCCGGGGATGCAATAACATACTGAGTGGGGTGGAAACCTGGAGAACTATTTTGAAGTTTTTCACACGCTGCCAATTCTTATCACTGTTTACATCAATGTTTGTTTGAGGTCAATGTAAAAAACACACTGTCTTAAAGCAAGATATGTGCAGTCGTGTTTTGATTGGTTGGTTTGTTGTTTAATGCTGCACTCGGCAATATTCCAGCTATGTAATGGGAGGTATATAAATAATTGAGTCTGGACCAAATAACCCGGTGATATGTTTTGAGACAGGAGATTTATTCGTGGTGTTTTTATAAGACAGCATAGACGATGAACTTGTATTCCCATTGATAATGGCATTCTAATCTACACCAAAACAGTTCTACAATTGTAAAAAAAGAAAATTACCAGCCATATTGACTATCACTTGTAAAACAACAGGAGTTGGTATGAAATCGGTATACCTTATGAAAACTTGCATCACTGCCAAACAAGTGACACCTTACTAATTTATCATTCATCTGACCGGAAATCATAAATATTGTGCAGTCTGACAGGCAGATGGTTGGCCAGATACAACATGCTACAGATAAATTTCACCAACAGCTGCGATGGACAGATGTTGTGTTTAGACGGTGAATGTGTGACGAAAGGAGCAGAATACATACACATATATTGATCAGATGAGATACTCGATAATGTGGAGGTCTGCATAATTTGTTTCAGCTAGTCACATAAAGTTACAGTAAATTACATTTCATTAACTTGCAGCAGGTTTCAGTAAATTTCACTGTTACTGAAAATTCAGCTGTTTCAAGAGGTTACACTATTTATGAACTGAATCGAAAAAAACCATGAATTTATAGTGAAATAAACATAAACACAGAAAAATTTGCTTGGGTAGCCAATCATATGCCATTGAATCACTTGCACTTTATTTGTACAAAAGCTAATCCCCCATGACAATTATAGTTGTACCGGAATATGCACCATTGATGTATGTCTGTGATACAGCCGAAATACTTATGACTGGAACAGACATTGTAAGGTGAGGTGAGGTGAAATTGGGTTTTACGTCATGCTTGAGAATATTTTGCTCATATGACGACGTGCATGCATGTGTATGTGTATGTGTGGCTGCTTGTACTAGCCCAGACTGAAACCGCTTTTATAGTGCTAGCCCACTGAGATACCATGCCGCAGTGAAGCATGAATACCCCACTCAGACACATTATACTGATTCCGAGCTGACCAGTCCTTGTTGTACCCATTAATGCCGAGCGCCAGGCAGGGAGACATTGTAAGGTGATCACGTGACTCGCTGCACATGATTCATGTATTTCATGCTTTGTTCACACTTTATGACAACACAGCCTACATGTTGTGTCTGTATGTATGGCGTAACAGGAACCTGGAAAGAATGACCCCTTTCACAATCATTACCATTAATGTCCTGCTGCCATATTGCTGAAATATTGCTGAGTGCGGCGTTAAACAACAAACCAACAGCAACCAACAACCAATAATGTTAGTGTCATGTTTCTAAATTTGTTGACAACATTTCTATGAAACAGCTGAATAACTGATGATTGGGACAGCATTCATTCTCTGAAATTTACATCCGCTTAATGATGGCGGATTTTGTTGGTTGTTGCACTCAATAGACCATCTATATGGCGGCGGTCTGTAAATTATGAAGTCTGGACCAGACAATTCAGTGATGAACATGATGAGCATCGATCTACACAATTGGGATATGATAACGTGTGTCAACCAAGTCGACCACCAGGTCCCGTTAGTCGCCTCTTACGATAAGCATGGGTTAGTGAAGACTGACTGACTGACTGAGTATGGTTTTACATCGTTTTTAGCAATATTCCAGCAATATCACGGCGGGGGACACCAGAAATGGGCTTCACACATTGTACCCATGTGGGGAATCGAACCCGGGTCTTCGGCGTGACGAGCCAACGCTTTAACCACTAGGCTACCCCACCGCCCCTGGTTAGTGAAGACCAAATTAACCCGGATCTTCACAGGTTATTGGTGGAGGAAAGCCAATGATCTTCATAGCAGACTCACCCAGCAAAGATGCACACAGTCACTGCGAAGCCGATGGCCAGAGGTGCGAGGTTGGACTTGCTGTGATCATCGACGGCAGACATTAACACTGTCAGGACCAAAACTGTGGTCAGGAGGATCTCGCACACGATGCCTGGCCCGGGTCCGACTGCCGACAGAATGTGTGCCCCACCATTGATCAACTCGTACTCTGCAACTGGAAGAACAGCCTGGAACAGAAGATTGTTAAAGAGGTTATCTGAGATACTAATAACAGTATGGCCTTATCAAAAACAAGTCTGTTAAGGGATTCTTTGAAGTGCAACCAACAGTATGGCCTGGTTAAAAACAAGTGTTTTAAAGGGGTTCTTTGAGTTGCACACAACCCGTGGCCATTATCAAAAACAAGTCTGTTAAAGGTTCTATGGCCTAGGAGTTAAACAACAACAAATAGCATGTCTTGGACTACAAAAGGAGACATTTAGCAGTGAAGGTACAACTAGGTCAACGTCTGCACTCACCCTGACCAATCCTGCTCCCACCATAGCCCCAAGTAGCTGAGACATTACATATGCAAAAGCCATGACGGGAGTGATGGCGCCGCTCAGGAGGATGCCAAATGTCACCGCTGGGTTGATGTGGGCGCCACTGCAAGTTACAGGAAGAGTCATCATTATCTAAACATGATACTGAGTGAATATAGTTTTATGACACACAGCCATATCACCTACCTACAGCTGACAAGGCCTGTGAGGATGAGAGGCGGTTATTTTAGGTGGGTGAAGATCCATTGTTGTATGGGTAAAATGTCGTACAACAACAATGCGAACAATATAGTTAACATGGCTAGGCCTTAAAACCATCACAGAGTCTACAGGCTAGTTCTCCTAAAACTTAGGGCAACTGGTTCACAAGGAGAGATGATAAAATTCTGATATATAATTTGGTCAGCATTTGCTGGGACTTTTGTTACAGATTGTGTTTCTGGTCACTTCTTCAAAACACACCATTTCATTTTCTGTGAAAGAAAGAACATTTTTTCAAATTTTCTTAAGGGATCAATTGAAAAATGACCCCAGTCCCCATCCGATATCAATTTCTGACCCATGTATACCATTCACACCACTTCGACACAAATAAAGACTCACGGTCAAGGTCAAGGTCGCGGGCACCTACATGAATGTCGCAGATCGACACACTGTCCAGCTGATGTGAAGCTAGTTCAAGGTGTGGCCGTACGGGAGCAATAACTCACACACTTCATCTATGGCTATTGAAACACCCAGTGCATAAATTCAACGCATAAATCTCAAGCGTGACTTCCATATATGACAATCAATACCTTGAGACATCAAAGCTTTCAACACCTTGCCTTTAACTGTTTCTGTCATTTGTAAAGATTATTCAAGAACATTGACAAACTTTATGCCTGACAAAGGTACAAGAATCTGTATTGAAATGTTGCACTCACAAAATTAAGAAGTTGTTATCCATAAAGTTAGTCTATATTGTACTCCCAACTTCTAAAATGATATTCAAAGAAATTGTTTAGGAATCTGCATACAAGAAACTACATTGAGAATGAACACACTTATAACAAACAGATATAAAACACAAAAAAATGTTTTTCTCACACACCACCAACTGATAACGTAAGCATATCACATCAAGGAACTATCTCTGATATGTATCTGACCCTTGCTACATGGAACATGACTGACATTGAGAAAGGTCAAACACAATATAACTTGAACTATTACATGTTGCTCCTTGAAACAGAGACAATTAATTAGGGCATATCTGAACCTCATATACTTACTGTATTTATCTTACACCTAGAATGTTATCTGACTCTAACTGGTACACACCTAGGACATATCTGACCCTGGTACACACCTAGGATACATCTGACTCCAGAACACCTCGGACGTATCTGACCCTGGTACACACCAGACCCTGGTACACACCTAGGACACACCTGACCCTGGTACACACCTAGCACACATCTGACCCTGGTACACACCTAGGACACATCTGACCCTGGTACACACCTAAGGACAGCATCTGACCCTGGTACACACCTAGGACACATCTGACCCTGGTACACACCTAGGACATATCTGACCCTGGTACACACCTAGGACACATCTGACCCTGGTAGACACCTAGGACATATCTGACCCTAATACACACCTAGGACATATCTGACCCTGGTAGACACCTAGGACACATCTGACCCTGGTAGACACCTAGGACATATCTGACCCTGGTACACACCTAGGACACATATGACCCTGGTACACACCTAGGACACATCTGACCCTGGTACACACCTAGGACACATCTGACCCTGGTACACACCTAGGACACATCTGACCCTGGTACACACCTAGGACATATATGACCCTGGTACACACCTAGGACACATCTGACCCTGGTAGACACCTAGGACATATCTGACCCTAATACACACCTAGGACATATCTGACCCTGGTAGACACCTAGGACACATCTGGCCCTGGTAGACACCTAGGACATATCTGACCCTGGTACACACCTAGGACATATCTGACCCTGGTACACACCTAGGACACACCTGACCCTGGTACACACCTAGGACATATCTGACCCTGGTACACACCTAGGACACATCTGACCCTGGTACACACCTAGGACACATCTGACCCTGGTACACATCTAGGACACATCTGACCCTGGTAGACACCTAGGACACATCTGACCCTGGTACACACCTAGGACACATCTGACCCTGGTACACACCTAGGACACATCTGACCCTGGTGCACACCTAGGACATATCTGACCCTGGTACACACCTAGGACATATCTGACCCTGGTACACACCTAGGACACATCTGACCCTGGTACACACCTAGGACACATCTGACCCTGGTACACACCTAGGACACATCTGACCCTGGTACACACCTAGGACACATCTGACCCTTGTACACACCTAGGACACACCTGATCCTGGTACACACCTAGGACACACCTGATCCTGGTATACACCTAGGACATATATGACCCTGGTACACACCTAGGACATATCTGACCCTGGTACACACCTAGGACACATCTGACCCTGGTACACACCTAGGACATATCTGACCCTGGTACACACCTAGGACACACCTGACCCTGGTACACACCTAGGACACACCTGACCCTGGTACACACCTAGGACATATCTGACCCTGGTACACACCTAGGACATATCTGACCCTGGTACACACCTAGGACACACCTGACCCTGGTACACACCTAGGACACACCTGATCCTGGTACACACCTAGGACATATATGACCCTGGTACACCTAGGACACATCTGACCCTGGTACACACCTAGGATGCATCTGACCCCAGAATACTTAGGACATATCTAACCCTGGTACACAATCACAAGATATTTGACTCTAACTGGTACACATTTTGGACACATCAGACTCTAACTGGTACACACTTAAGACATATCTGACTAACTGGTACACACTAAAGACATATCTGACTCTAACTGGTACACACTTAAGACATATCTGACTCTAACTGGTACACATTTTGGACACATCTGACTGTAACTGGTACACACTTAAGACACATCTGACTCTAACTGGTACACACTTAAGACATATCTGACTAACTGGTACACACTAAAGACACATCTGACTCTAACTGGTACACACTTAAGACATATCTGACTAACTGGTACACATTTAAGACATATCTGACTCTAACTGGTACACACTTAAGACACATCTGACTCTAACTGGTACACACTTAAGACATATCTGACTCTAACTGGTACACACTTAAGACATATCTGACTCTAACTGGTACACACTTAAGACATATCTGACTCTAACTGGTACACACTTAAGACATATCTGACTCTAACTGGTACACACTTAAGACACATCTGACTCTAACTGGTACACACTTAAGACATATCTGACTCTAACTGGTACACACTTAAGACATATCTGACTCTAACTGGTACACACTTAAGACATATCTGACTAACTGGTACACACTGAAGACATATCTGACTAACTGGTACACACTAAAGACACATCTGACCCTGGTACACACTCACAAGATATTTGACTGAGAAACTGGTACACATTTTGGACACATGAGACCCTGACACACTGATTTATGACATCTGACCCTGGCTGACTACATATCTGACTGTAACTGATCTGACTGACTGGTACACTTAAGACACATCTGACCCTGGTACACACTCACAAGATATTTGACTCAAGCTTTAAGCTGGTACACATTTTGGACACATAAGACATCTGACCCTGACACACAAGATTTGACTCTAGCTGGTACACATGACATGAGACCCTGACCCTGGACCCTGGCTGACTGCAGTAGGGCACTTCTGACCCTGATACACAATTATGATTTAATGGAACATACATGACCCATATCTGATGATAGACCTGGGACCAGTACAACCTCTTGACATGTGGGCCACTACTGATCCTGAGCTACAGCATAATACAGTTGAAGAAATATATACAGGAACCACTCACAGCAATCTCAAAACCTGTATTTGCAAATCCTTGTTTATCTTAATAATTGTGCAAACATATCAATTTGAAATCTTGAACAGTCTGGGCTGGAAATAACTTTAAAATTGCTAGTGTACTCCGGTACAGTGGCACAAGTAAAATCCCTTGCCCTGATAATTTTTCCACTATACTGGCCGATTTTCTTGTTCATTTTTTAAATAAACAACATAATTAAGATTGGAAAGTCAACTGGACACCGGTACAGTGTGGTAGACAAATATGCTTGCCCGACAGAAAAAACACTGGACTCGGGCGTCGGGCAATGGGTTATTTCCACCCCTGAACAGATTTCAAAATGTTTTTTAAACATAAACAAAATATTTCTTTACATTCATAGAACATGAGTAACTCATTATATGATGGTAATTTACTAATTCATGCACAGAATGGTACATGCTGGACCCAGACTACCAGCTGGAACAATGACAGTGAAGTCACTGGAACTAAATGTTTTGGTTGGAAGCCTGCTATGTTTTACAAGCAGTAAACTTAATGAGCTTGTTTGACAGCTGGCAACCACACTGATATATGATGCTACAACACCTCCGCAACATATCACACACACCATCATGTGCTGTACACATGTGCCTGCTATCATATAAATAATACAAATATTAAGTTTCAATTCAGATACAAAATTGATCGAACTCAGCCACTAATTTGCAGCATTCTAATAAATGTATCCAGGGCTCCAGATAATTTTTCGTGATCAGGAGTACGTACTCATTATTTTTCCAATATAGGATTACTGGAAAACAATAAGAGTACATTTAGAGTACTGAATGGAATTTAATGGCGTATCAGTAATCTTGTGTTTCGTTTCATATATGCACCACAACATTGCTACTCTTGTGTAAACAGGTCAGTAAACAATAAAACAATACTTTTCAGATAACTACGTCTGTAAATGATTCTGAAACCGTACACCATTGCTGTTGTGCGTATCTGCTACGTTTCTAAAATTGTTTCCTACCGTATCGTGCTTATTTTATATCCGTACATACGCCGATACGGCCCTTATCTGGAGCCCTGTGTATCATCTA